GTGCAGCGTGCGCAGCTCGTACTGTGTACTGTGCACAGAGTAGCACCTGTGCAAAGCGCACACACACACACACACACACTCACCTGCACGGCGGTGAAGAGAGCGGGCGCGGAGGCGGGCAGCACGGCGTGCAGCGTGCGCAGCTCGTACTGTGTACTGTGCACAGAGTAGCACCTGTGCAGAGCACACACACACACACACACACTCACCTGCACGGCGGTGATGAGCGCGGGCGCGGAGGCGGGCAGCACGGCGTGCAGCGTGCGCAGCTCGTACTGTGTACTGTGCACAGAGTAGCACCTGTGCAGAGCACACACACACACACACACACACTCAACTGCACGGCGGTGAAGAGCGCGGGCGCGGAGGCGGGCAGCACGGCGTGCAGCGTGCGCAGCTCGTACTGTGTACTGTGCACAGAGTAGCACCTGTGCAGAGCACACACACACACACACACACACACTCACCTGCACGGCGGTGAAGAGCGCGGGCGCGGAGGCGGGCAGCACGGCGTGCAGCGTGCGCAGCTCGTACTGTGTACTGTGCACAGAGTAGCACATGTGCAGAGCACACACACACACACTCACCTGCACGGCGTTGAAGAGCGCGGGCGCGGAGGCGGGCAGCACGGCGTGCAGCGTGCGCAGCTCGTACTGTGTACTGTGCACAGAGTAGCACCTATGCAGAGCACACACACACACACACTCACCTGCACGGCGGTGAAGAGCGCGGGCGCGGAGGCGGGCAGCACGGCGTGCAGCGTGCGCAGCTCGTACTGTGTACTGTGCACATAGTAGCACCTGTGCAGAGCACACACACACACACACACACACACTCACCTGCACGGCGGTGAAGAGCGCGGGCGCGGAGGCGGGCAGCACGGCGTGCAGCGTGCGCAGCTCGTACTGTGTACTGTGCACAGAGTAGCACCTGTGCAGAGCACACACACTCACCTGCACGGCGGTGAAGAGCGCGGGCGCGGAGGCGGGCAGCACGGCGTGCAGCGTGCGCAGTTCGTACTGTGTACTGTGCACAGAGTAGCACCTGTGCAGAGCACACACACACACACACACACACACACACACACACACACACACACACACACACACACACACACACACTCACCTGCACGGCGATGAAGAGCGCGGGCGCGGAGGCGGGCAGCACGGCGTGCAGCGTGCGCAGCTCGTACCGTGTACTGTGCACAGAGTAGCACCTGTGCAGAGCACACACACTCACCTGCACGGCGGTGAAGAGCGCGGGCGCGGAGGCGGGCAGCACGGCGTGCAGCGTGCGCAGCTCGTACTGTGTACTGTGCACAGAGTAGCACCTGTGCAAAGCGCACACACACACACACACACACACACTCTCCTGCAAGGCGGTGAAGAGCGCGGGCGCGGAGGCGGGCAGCACGGCGTGCAGCGTGCGCAGCTCGTACTGTGTACTGTGCACAGAGTAGCACCTGTGCAGAGCACACACACACACACACACACACTCACCTGCACGGCGGTGAAGATCGCGGGCGCGGAGGCGGGCAGCACGGCGTGCAGCGTGCGCAGCTCGTACTGTGTACTGTGCACAGAGTAGCACCTGTGCAGAGCACACACACACACACACACACACACACACACACTCACCTGCACGGCGGTGAAGAGCGCGGGCGCGGAGGCGGGCAGCACGGCGTGCAGCGTGCGCAGCTCGTACTGTGTACTGTGCACAGAGTAGCACCTGTGCAGAGCACACACACACACACACACACACTCACCTGCACGGCGGTGAAGAGCGCGGGCGCGGAGGCGGGCAGCACGGCGTGCAGCGTGCGCAGCTCGTACTGTGTACTGTGCACAGAGTAGCACCTGTGCAGAGCACACACACACACACACACACTCACCTGCACGGCGGTGAAGAGCGCGGCCGCGGAGGCGGGCAGCACGGCGTGCAGCGTGCGCAGCTCGTACTGTGTACTGTGCACAGAGTAGCACCTGTGCAGAGCACACACACACACACACACTCACCTGCACGGAGGTGAAGAGCGCGGGCGCGGAGGCGGGCAGCACGGCGTGCAGCGTGCGCAGCTCGTACTGTGTACTGTGCACAGAGTAGCACCTGTGCAGAGCACACACACACACACACACACACACTCACCTGCACGGCGGTGAAGAGCGCGGGCGCGGAGGCGGGCAGCACGGCGTGCAGCGTGCGCAGCTCGTACTGTGTACTGTGCACAGAGTAGCAACTGTGCAGAGCACACACACACACAAACACTCACCTGCACGGCGGTGAAGAGCGCGGGCGCGGAGGCGGGCAGCACGGCGTGCAGCGTGCGCAGCTCGTACTGTGTACTGTGCACAGAGTAGCACCTGTGCAGAGCACACACACACACACACACACTCACCTGCACGGCGGTGAAGAGCGCGGGCGCGGAGGCAGGCAGCACGGCGTGCAGCGTGCGCAGCTCGTACTGTGTACTGTGCACAGAGTAGCACCTGTGCAGAGCACACACACACACACACACACACACACACACACACACACACACACACTCTCCTGCACGGCGGTGAAGAGCGCGGGCGCGGAGGCGGGCAGCACGGCGTGCAGCGTGCGCAGCTCGTACTGTGCACTGTGCACAGAGTAGCACCTGTGCAGAGCACACACACACACACAAACACTCACCTGCACGGCGGTGAAGAGCGCGGGCGCGGAGGCGGGCAGCACGGCGTGCAGCGTGCGCAGCTCGTACTGTGTACTGTGCACAGAGTAGCACCTGTGCAGAGCACACACACACACACACACACTCACCTGCACGGCGGTGAAGAGCGCGGGCGCGGAGGCGGGCAGCACGGCGTGCAGCGTGTGCAGCTCGTACTGTGTACTGTGCACAGAGTAGCACCTGTGCAGAGCACACACACACACACACACACACTCACCTGCACGGCGGTGAAGAGCGCGGGCGCGGAGGCGGACAGCACGGCGTGCAGCGTGCGCAGCTCGTACTGTGCACTGTGCACAGAGTAGCACCTGTGCAGAGCACACACACACACACAAACACTCACCTGCACGGCGGTGAAGAGCGCGGGCGCGGAGGCGGGCAGCACGGCGTGCAGCGTGCGCAGATCGTACTGTGTACTGTGCACAGAGTAGCACCTGTGCAGAGCACACACACACACACACAAACACTCACTTGCACGGCGGTGAAGAGCGCGGGCGCAGGGGCGGGCAGCACGGCGTGCAGCGTGCGCAGCTCGTACTGTGTACTGTGCACAGAGTAGCACCTGTGCAGAGCACACACACACACACACATACTCACCTGCACGGCGGTGAAGAGCGCGGGCGCGGAGGCGGGCAGCACGGCGTGCAGCGTGCGCAGCTCGTACTGTGTACTGTGCACAGAGTAGCACCTGTGCAGAGCACACACACACACACACACACACACACACACACACACACTCACCTGCACGGCGGTGAAGAGCGCGGGCGCGGAGGCGGGCAGCACGGCGTGCTGCGTGCGCAGCTCGTACTGTGTACTGTGCACAGAGTAGCACCTGTGCAGAGCACACACACACACACACACACACACACACTCACCTGCACGGCGGTGAAGAGCGCGGGCGCGGAGGCGGGCAGCACGGCGTGCAGCGTGCGCAGCTCGTACTGTGTACTGTGCACAGAGTAGCACCTGTGCAGAGCACACACACACACACACACACACACACACACACACACACACACTCACCTGCACGGCGGTGAAGAGCGCGGGCGCGGAGGCGGGCAGCACGGCGTGCAGCGTGCGCAGCTCGTACTGTGTACTGTGCACAGAGTAGCACCTGTGCAGAGCACACACACACACACACACACACTCACCTGCACGGCGGTGAAGAGCGCGGGCGCGGAGGCGGGCAGCACGGCGTGCAGCGTGCGCAGCTCGTACTGTGTACTGTGCACAGAGTAGCACCTGTGCAGAGCACACACACACACACACACACACTCACCTGCACGGCGGTGAAGAGCGCAGGCGCGGAGGCGGGCAGCACGGCGTGCAGCGTGCGCAGCTCGTACTGTGCACAGAGTAGCACCTGTGCAGAGCACACACACACACACACACACACTCACCTGCACGGCAGTGAAGAGCGCGGGCGCGGAGGCGGGCAGCACGGCGTGCAGCGTGCGCAGCTCGTACTGTGTACTGTGCACAGAGTAGCACCTGTGCAGAGCACACACACACACACACACACACTCACCTGCACGGCGGTGAAGAGCGCGGGCGCGGAGGCGGGCAGCACGGCGTGCAGCGTGCAGCTCGTACTGTGTACTGTGAACAGAGTAGCACCTGTGCAGAGCACACACACACACACACACACACACACACCTGCACGGCGGTGAAGAGCGCGGGCGCGGAGGCGGGCAGCACGGCGTGCAGCGTGAGCAGCTCGTACTGTGTACTGTGAACAGAGTAGCACCTGTGCAGAGCACACACACACACACACACACACTCACCTGCACGGCGGTGAAGAGCGCGGGCGCGGAGGCGGGCAGCACGGCGTGCAGCGTGCAGCTCGTACTGTGTACTGTGAACAGAGTAGCACCTGTGCAGAGCACACACACACACACACACACACTCACCTGCACGGCGGTGAAGAGCGCGGGCGCGGAGGCGGGCAGCACGGCGTGCAGCGTGCGCAGCTCGTACTGTGTACTGTGCACAGAGTAGCACCTGTGCAGAGCACACACACACACACACACACACACTCACCTGCACGGCGGTGAAGAGCGCGGGCGCGGAGGCGGGCAGCACGGCGTGCAGCGTGCAGCTCGTACTGTGTACTGTGAACAGAGTAGCACCTGTGCAGAGCACACACACACACACACACACACTCACCTGCACGGCGGTGAAGAGCGCGGGCGCGGAGGCGGGCAGCACGGCGTGCAGCGTGCAGCTCGTACTGTGTACTGTGAACAGAGTAGCACCCGTGCAGAGCACACACACACACACACACACTCACCTGCACGGCGGTGAAGAGCGCGGGCGCGGAGGCGGGCAGCACGGCGTGCAGCGTGCGCAGCTCGGCGCCGCCGCCGCCCGCCGCCTCCAGCACGAAGCCCTTCACGCACTTCAGCACCAGCTCGCCGCGCCGCACGCACCACGCAGCCGTCATCTCCTGCGACACGCACACAATCTCACTCACTCATACACTTACACACTCACTACACTCTACAGATATACACCGGCCAAGAGGTGCGAAAAATATTTCATCTGTTCTTACGTTATAGCATAATATAAAAACACTACCATCATCATCATCATCATTACAGCCCTTCATAAGTATACTGGTGAACATAGGCCTCCCCCAAGGAATGCCACAAAGCACGGTCCTGAGCCACCTGCATCCATCGACTTCCTGCATGTCTTACCACAGGTCGTCACTCCATCTAGTGGGGGGTCGCCCTACACTTCGCCTTCCGGTACGAGGCTGCTACTCGAGAACCTTTCTTCCCCATCGGTTGTCGGTTCTTCGAGCTATATCGCCGGCCTATTGCCACTTCACTTACTCTGGTTCTACTGCGGATTTTTTTTATATAGGATAAGGGTGACGAACGAGCTCACAGTCCACCTGATGGTAAGTGGTTGCTGCGGCCCATAGACATCTACATCTATCCTCGTTTGCGAATCAAAATGCAGATGCGTTGCCACCCGTGAGGACTAAGATGGAATGCCTCATTTCCAGTAAAAAGGGCCTCCGGCCACCTGCACTCACCAAGCGAAACGCAGAGGTAAACCTCTACTTCACGCTGATATCCTCATTTCTAAGTTTATCACACAAAGAAACTCCGAGCATAGGTCTTTCCATAGCTCGCTGAGCGACCTTGAGCGTCCCCATACGGCCAGCAGTTAAGGACCACGTCTCAGATCCATAAGTCATCACTGGCAATAAGCACTGGTTGTACAATCTCATTTTCAGGTTTTGAAGTATACCTGACGTGAAGATGTGTCGTAGTTTTTAGAACGCTGCCCAGCCGAGTTGAATCCGTCGATTGACCTCTCGGTCGAAGTTGAACTTACCTAGTCGGACTATTTGTTTCAGGTAAACATACTCGTCAACAACTTCGAGCTTAGTGCTCCCAACACCTACCGGCATAGGTGTTACATGGACATTAAACATGATCTTTGTTTTGTTTATGTTCAACTTAAGACCTATCCATTGGGAGACACTATTGAGGTCATTGAGCATAGTGCTTAGGTCCTCCAGCGATTCTGCCATAAGGACTATATCGGCGGCAAATAGAAGGTGAGTGATGTACTCGCCATTGATGTTAATACCGTCTCTTTTCCAGTTACTGGACTTGAAAACGTCTTACAATGCAGCGGTGAAAAGTTTCGGGGATATAACGTAACGCTGTCTTACACCTCTCTGCAGTTGGATAGGTTTCGTACTCTGATTCTGTACTCGAATAGCCATCGTAGCCTTACTGTACAAACACTTCATCACTTCGATATACTGACAGTCAACTTAGCACCGCCCAAATTTCGACGGAATCAATGGCTTTCTCATAGTGCACATACGCAAGAAAAAGTGGCAGATTGTACTCTTCTGTACAATTTGCCGAAGGGTGTGTATGTGGTCCATGGTACTAAAGCCTTTTCCGAAACCGGCTTATTCGGGAGGCTGGAAGTCGTTAAGTCTGCGTGCGAGACGATTCGTAATGACTTTCGAAAACAGTACGTAGACGCGGCTCAGAAAGGAAATCGGTCTGTAGTTCTTCAAGAGAGCGTTGTCGCCTTTCTTTAAGAACAGGACCACCGCACTTCTGCTCCACGCCTCCGTAGTAGTGACACCATGGAGGACGGAATTAAAGAGCTTCTGAAGGACTTCAAGTACCGCTTCTCCACCCGCTTTCAGAAGCTCCGCTGTAATTCCATCCTCACCTGGGGCCTTGCCGTTTTTAAGGTGCTGGAGAGCCATTCTAATCTCGCTCAGACTGATGTCCAGGATATCTTCAGAATAGTGTCGGATAAGACTCGCTCTTGGATCGTTACTCACACTTGCGTGTGGCTCCAACGATGATGTGTACGGCTGCCCATAGAACCTCTCCATCTCACTCAAAATCTCAGGTGTCCCGGAAACGAAGCTGCCACACTCGGTCTTCAGCTTTGACAATTGGCTCTTTCTGGCAGACAAATTTCTGGCAGACTTTGGAGTCTTGGTTCCGCTCGATCGCTTCTTCAATACAAGCTGTATTGAAGTTGCGTAAGTCCCGTCGCATGCATTTGGAGATCTGTCTTCAGTTGTCAAATCTGTTGAAGACTGGAGCTTCATTTCCCGTCTAACAGCCATGAGATTAAGACTGTGATCGGAGTTTTTGTGTTCCTCTGCGGCGGGTCTTGCAGAACTTAGCTCCGACCGCATGGACGGTTTCCACGAGCTTATCATTAATATCGTACACTTCATTGCACTGAAAACGGTTTTGTGTTGTCCTATTCCAAATTTCCCCACCTGCAGCTTACCGTTCTCTCTTGTGCCTAGTTTTGCATTGAAGTCTGCCATTAACACCGCATAGTGGGGTTTGGAGGAATACATGGCTCTAGATGTACCCTCATACATTTCCTCCACCTCCTTATCCGAGGTATGCCGAGGTTGGTGCGTAAACCTGTATGACCTTCAACGAATACTGTTTGGTGATTCTGAGTATAAGGTACGTAACAATTGTCGACACACTCCCAATCTTTACAACGTTGTTAACGAGAGACTTGTGGACGATAAATCCGACACCTCCTTGGGACAGATGGTCGCACTCCTGGTGATAGAAAAAGTTGCCGGATTCGAGGATTACCGTTTCCTCCCCCACTCTTCGGACCGTGGCTAACCCTATAATATGCCACCGTAATTTGTCTATCCCTTCTTCCAACCTCACGATCTTCTCGTAAGCCCTCAGGGTGCGTACGTTGTATGTTGCTAGGCCGAGTCGTCTTAGGTGGCAACCGAACCTCCACCGGAGATTCTTAGCAACCCCTGTCCCGCCGTTACCATGGTCGCTACCGTAGCCAGGAATAGCGGGGCCGCCTTGGACTGGGAGCCGTCTCTTCGTATCTCTCATCATAGTTGCCACGCTTGACGAGCGGGTTGGCAACCGCAGTTTTTTTATTGTAATATTGCTGTTATCAGGAAGATGCTGCTGCCCATTTCCTGCCGGCCTCCCACTGTCGGCTCTTACGAAACCCACGGGAAGACATAGGTAGTGGATATTCTTAACCGCTACTACACGGCGCAACAAAAACACTATACTCAACGAAATCTAAGAAATAATACCTTTTGAGCTGTCAGACTTATTGGACTAGGCATGCAACCAAAAAATCGGTACGTACAATATTAGATTCTTTGGAAAAATCGAAATCGATTGTTTAGAGTTGGTAATCATTTACAGTTTTGTTTCGATTAATAGCAGAATCTAATTTAGAAACGATTAATTTAAAACACAAGATTTATCAGTTTCTTCGTACTTATTATTACTGCTTATTTGTAGGGACAAGTATAAATTTAAATTTAGTTTAAAAAAATATTTATTCACTTTCACTACTAGTTGAGCTGTCGTTGCTTAGATTAATTATTATTGGATTTTCAATAATGTAGTCAAAATGAATGCCTTTTTCAAAGTCATCCATAATAATTGTCTTTGTTTTGCAGATTTCAATCTCAAATCTGGTTATCTATAGTCTATATATAGTCATTACAGGTATATAGTATAGTATATAGTATATATATAGTCATTACAGGTCGGCGGATTGGGACGGAATGCGGTATTTCTTTGCATCCTACCCATGGCGGGTTTGCTTCTCGCCGGATGATCCCAGCGCTGTTGCTATATCTGTCACTGATGTGCTGCTACAGGGAATGGGACTATTTATTCCATCATCTGTGGAACCTTCGGAGGCAGATCTCAGCCTTGGTTTGGTAGCTCCTGCAAGACTGCATTACGCAGTAAGCAGGAGTGTTATCAAGCCTGGGCTGCGGCTTCGGCGACTCGGGATATAAACACCAGCATGCTTAAAAAGAAGTATAACTTCGCCTCCAGGTCCTTCAAAAGAGTTATTGTTAAGGCAAAGTCAGAGCACATAGGCAGAATTGGCGAGAAACTAGTTCGCCTTCCTTCGGGAATCCGTGCATTCTGGTTTCTCGCTAAGGCTGTACACTAGGACATACAATAGGAGCAGGGGGGCGCCTCCCTAGCCGCTAGGCCGCTGTAAGATGGTAGGGGGCAGTGCCCTCCAGCGGGAGCTCCGATCGGCCTTAGGGGGGTTGGCGCCGACTTGCCCGGCGGATTCCGCCTCTCCCTGGGCACGGCTCGGTTGGCAACCCGTAAGTCTTTATTCGTCTTGGGTATGGTTGATTTTGAAACCCTAATGTTTAGGAGGGTGATGTCAACTATTAGGCACTATCTTTCTATAATTCACCACAAGTTGGATTGCCAGTCGGTTATGGAGAGAATCGGTTTGTTGGTACTAGGCACCCTGCAGAGAGGTAATGGAGGAACGGTGGCTCCGCGCCGTAGGGCGCGTCTTCTAGATAGACCAGTTACGCGTACCAAACGTGCTGCTTTTGCACCAACAAATCGTGCATTAATACTTATAGGGGACATACTCACTCGGCACGATTAAATTGACCTATTTGCAGATAATATAACACGTCTGCTGACTCTTTTTTATAAAATTATTGATGATATGACAATTAATAATTCGACAATTTAATTTCGTTGACTATGTACTATTTATACTTTATATTTGAGATGTAATTTTAATTATGGGCATATTAAGATTGTTATTAGTTTTTATTGACATTGCATTATAAATTGATATGACAAAATGTTTCATTGTATAATTATTAAAACTTTATTGTTTTAATTGGCTTTATTACCATTTTAATTTCTGACACGGGCTGCCAAAAGCTTCGAGATTTTATATTACTATTATTTTATAATTAATTAATTTATGATTATTAATTTTTGTTGTTATGGATGGATACTATTTCTGAAAAAATTTTTTGCATGTAAAATTTAACCTTGTGCGCGTGTTGGATTTTCTGTAAGCCACAAGTTTATGAATTAAATAAATAAATAAATAAATAAAATAAATAAATAAGTCGTCGACGGTGCCCGCTGCGTTCTC